GTGGGTTTGCAGCGAGCAGCGTTCAGCCGCTGCCGCAGCGTCCTCAGGCAGGCAGACCAACACACCTCTGGTTTTGGAGATCTCCAGAGCAAATATGTGCAATCTTTCACAGAGGAAAACCAAAGCTGATTGCCAAGCTCAGGAGAGAAATGAATCATGCAACAGATGCTGAACGTAGGCAGGCCAAGACGCTGGCTGAACTGCAAGAAGGGACCATCACTGCATTTGAGCCCAAACTGAGCAGGCAGGCCACGGGACGAAGCCCATGGAAAAATGCAATGTGGTTAAATGTTGCCTGGCACTTGCTGGATGCATGGAGAGGTGAGGGGGAAGGATGGCTTCTGGTTTAGGCCACCTTCCTGGGAGCTGGGATCTCTGGAGCTTGGCTCAGCTGCCAAGACCTTGCATAGGCAGGGAAACCTGCGCCAGCGTGGGCCTGTGGAGTCCCATTAACATCACAAGATGAAAGCTGGGGTGAGACTTTTGATAACAGATACCATCTGTTTCCGTACATGCCTCCGTATTCATGCATAAATGCAAATCCTTGGAGCTCGGCAGACGCCGTGGACGTGTGCTGGGAATGAGGAGCAAGAGCCTTCGTCCCTGGAGGAACTAGACCTGCTGCATGCAGGTCCTCCCCGCTCCTCACGGGCTCAGCTGGAAAAGATGGGCCTGGCCAAGGGCTTGGAGAAGCAAACATGCCCACCTCAGTCTTCCTGGTTTCTTCCCCAGCAAAGCCCAGGTGTGACTGCCAGGGACGTCATTGCCGGAGGAATTTATTTGTAATTTGAGCCCTCCTTGCATTTTGCCTGGGGCATTATCTGCTGATTAGGCCCAGAATATCTCGATAGCTTTCGGCGGAGCCTGTTTGCTTTGCCTCACTGCGGCCACATTAAGCAGCTCCACATCTTCCGCCAGCTTTCTGCAGCAGGAAACACGTTCCCGGGAGCGCAAACAAAGCCGGGGGCAGGACCATGGCCCTTGGCTCCCCGAGGCTGGGCGAGGTGGGGTGCCCACGAGCTGCCCTGCAGCAAACAGGCGCACCCTGTGCCAGCGCGGAGCGGCCGGGATCCGAGGGAGGAGGCATCTCGCAGCCTTCCTCGCGGAGAGGATGAGTGTGGGCGCAATGCGAAGGCCGTGGGCACGTGGGGATCCATGTTCTAGGTGGCGAGGGGGCCACACAGGCTTCACTTGGCTGAACACTGCATCTAACAGCAATGGGCTAAACACGTCCAGCTCCACAGCCCCTTCAATAGGAGTAAAAGTGACCACATCTTGGCTGACCCACCGTGTTTCCAGCATGCATTTGTCAGCATCAAGCCCAGCCATGCAGGCACCTAGTGCTTTTAGACTAATGATAAAGCACTGCTTGGATTAAACAAGCTCTCAGGGTGCTGGCAGAGATGAAGTCAAGCCAACCAGATCCACACCAGAGCATCCTCCTCTGCACAGAGAGGACTCTGTCACCAACCTTCCCTGCCTGGATGGTCTGTAACCAGGAGCTGGGCAGGTATCTGAGCTCCTTAGTCCACGACTGGCATGTGGTGTTATTTGAGAGGTATTTGTGTGTAAGGTCCAGTTGCAAAGCCTTCCTTGGTAGCATTGCTAACATTGCACAATGCTCCAGCAAAGCCTCGCTTTGGAGGGCACAGAGATTGATGACGTGGTGCAAGCATCATCCACAAGCTCAGGTCTTGACGCAAAGCCAAAAGGCTAAACACGCTCCAAAGCACCTGCAGCCCAGTCAGTAACAACAGCACGTGCAGAAGGTGCAAAGAGTGTGCCCTGTCCCGGCCCGGTCCCACCAGGATCTCACCAGGCTTGCAGGGCTCGTGTTGGCCCGCGGGAAGGGCCGTGCTGCCCTGCGGCGCGCGTGCCCCCACGTTCCTGCGCGCCCGCAGCGGCAGCGCGAGCTGCGTCCTCGGCGTTATCGCAGCGCACTGCGAATGCAAACACGGGAGCTGGTGCAGGGCAAGCCATGAGCCTGCTCCAAGCCCTGGCAGGAGGGAAGGCACTGCAGAGGCAGCGCCGCGGCGCGGGCACTAACAA